GTCCAGAAGACCTATACAATTTTTTTTCCTTTTGATTTTTTACCTGGATTACTGAGATGCATCAGGATATATATAACATGGTTATTTCAGCAGAAATAAAATTATAATTCTACCAGAATTCTCCCAACATGCATAGAAAGCTTTACAACTTCTTTTTCTATTTGCATATATAACTACAAAATGCCATTTTTCTTGTGCGAGTGAAAAAGCAAAATGCAGCAAGGCTTGATTTTTTATTTTTATTTTTTCTGGCCAGGGTGAATGTGAAACGTCTGTGGGTGGAGACAGTTCGCAGTTATCGCGAGATCCCGTGGAATTCCCGAAGCGCTCTTCCCCCCCTCTCTCTCTCCGCTGGGAAAGAAGAAAATAAAGCCGTTTCTGCTGTGAGCGAGGGGGCTAGCTATGGAACCAAATCTTCAATTATTTTCTCTTCTGTGACTGGAAAAAAAAGGTGGTTCCCCTGCATGCAATGTGTCTAGCCGAGAGAAWAATCACTTGGAATTGTAAGACTTTTGATCCGTCTTTTCCACAAGACAAACTGAAGATGCGAGCCAGGAGAGGATTTTAGTGTATCTGCGTGCTAGCTTGGATTGCTAACCATTAGCATAGCAAGGAAGCACTGGATGAACTTTGCAAGGAYCGACTGCTGGGATGGGATTGAAGCCTGCTGTTTGACTGCAAGCTTTTTTTTTTTGTTTAGTTTTTGTGCTTACACGAGTCTATTTTCCTTAAAAGGCCCTATTTCCCTTAAACTCGAAAGTAACAATTTCGTTCAATTGTTGTTTTAGTCGTTTACGTCAACCAGCTATTGATCCTAAAATCCACTGGCAAGCTAACAGGATATTAGCCACCTTCTCGTCACTTTGCTTTGTGGTTGGTTGGAGGCCATGGACTGAGAAGCGTTTATCAGTTACTGGGTTACGGGAAGCCTGGCTCGATGGCAGCTAGGATGTGCAGACAGTCTGACTGACGAAGTAACATTCGCTGCCCCCGAAATATAAGCCTCCCAAGCCTCCCACGGTCTGGTTCTGTAAAACAAAATGCATCGGATGATCGCTGGATATTGTTCGGTTTGAACGAGTGGGAAAACAACGGGATTCCAGCTCGCCGCTGATTAAAGGTCCTCAAGAGAAGACAAATTTCGAGTGATTTATTTTTTGAAAACGTGGGAGTATATGATGTCTGCAGCAAAAGAAAACCCTTGCAGAAAATTTCAGGCGAACTTCTTCAACAAAAGCAAATGTCAGAATTGCTTCAAACCTCGAGAGCTACATCTGCTGACCGACCAGGATTTAACACAGGTGAGCAATAAACCATGAAACATACCCCCCCTTTTTTTAATTAAAAGAAATGTGTTTAATTCAGTAGAATCTGAGGACGTTTCTTTCTACTATCTATCTTCCTAAAAACCTGTTATTGTATGTTTTCTCTTACTGCTACAGATCAATTTTGCTYGGCAGTTTGGTTTCTTACTTTGGTTTTTCCGTTTTGGGATCATTTTTCACACTATGGGGGAAAAACTGTGTGGAAGTAAAGGGAAACAAAAATTAAGAAGGTCCTCTCAGCTGGGACCTCGATGGGAACATGTTTTTGAGTCTTTTTTTGCAGATCATTAGTTTAGTCTGAGCTGTATCCTGTAACTAATCCTAAATGAAGCCCAGATGGGTCCTTAAACGCAGCACAACAACCAAACAGCATCTTTGTGTGTGTGTGTGTGTGTGTGTGTGTGTGTGTGTGTGTG